AAACAATTTTATTTTGGCTCAGTAATTTGGAAATAAAGACATGGTGGCTGGTGAGGCCTGAAGAAGCTGTGTCAGACATTATCTTTTGCATTGCTAAAGCAATAGCTCTAATTAGCCAACATGTACCACCAAAAACCACCAAGCGTGATACTGGACCTACTTTTGATTTTTGAACATAGTCTTTTCCATGTTTCAATATCCTCACTTGCTAAAAAAGCAAAACAAATAAAGAGTATAATTCAGTTTTTGCCTTTCCATTTATTCCATCCACGAATTGCATAGAAGAATGATGCAAAACCACACTGCTGCTTGGAAAATCTTTTCCTAAGATAGATAGTTTCTTGCATGATTAGATTGTGTGGATAGATGCCCGAGGCAGAAGAAGACATGAAAGTATTGTTACTCAATCTCTGTCTTGCTTGGATAAGGTTGGTCAGTGATGCATGATACAGTTAGGAGCTGCAGATTGTGAGTATACATAAGAGCAACTACTGCCAAAATTCTTAGCCAAAGGCTTCTTTGCTTGGTTTCCTTGGCATCTTGGCAATGACAAAAACATTTTTGAAGTTGCAGATATTTGGCTTGTTTATGATTTGTATTTCACTATATAATGTTGTCGGATTCTGCCTTTAAAAATATGTAAAGCAGTTATCACTGGTCCTATATCATCTTGGAAGTCTTGGATTTCAAATGGTTTATCTTTAAATTTTGAACAGCTGATATAACCTTATAAAATTAATTTATATAATTTTAAAGTGCTTGTAATCAAACATTACTATTATATAAACCTCTCTTTCTTCAATATTTGTAAGTAACAAATTGATGCACTAGATCTTTGTGTGCCTCACTCACCTTGATAGTAATGTAGAGGTCACATTTCCACATGGGGAAGCAATTCCAGAGCACCTTCTCCATCTTCATAGATACAAGCTGTTTTTACTCCTCCCTGAAATCAATCAAGGAGCACGTCTCCTCCAACTTCTTTTTTTTCCTCTGACAGGAATGATAAATACAGTCAGGGCAAAGAATTTTATGCCAGCTCCCCTTCCAACATTTGGAGTAAAGCAGGAAGAAAAAAAGCAGAAATGGATGGCTTCAAACATTAGGAATTGTAACGGCAGACAAATGTCCTGACCCTGACAGATGACTTTGTTGAGTAGATGTATAATGCTGAGGCTTAAAGCATGTAAACTGCTTGGTGAGCTGGATTGGGTAATTTAGAAAAAAGAACCTAACTGTGGCATAGAAGAATGATATCATCTAGGACAGATGGATGGGCTTGTTTCTGGCAGGAAGAAGCAGTAAAAAAACAGAAGTGGATAGATAACAGATAACAGATAATCAGAGTTGGAAGGGACCTTTTAGGTCATCTAGTCCAACCCCCCACCCAAGCGGGAGACCCTACACCATTTCTGACAGATGGCAGTCCAATCTCTTCTTGAAAGTCTCAAGTGATGGCGCTCCCACAACTTCCAAGGGCAAGCTGTTCCATTGGTTGATTGTTCTCACTGTCAGAAAGTTTCTCCTTATTTCCAGGTTAAATCTCTCCTTGTTCAGTTTCCATCCATTATTCCTTGTCTGGCCTACAGGAGCTTTAGAAAATAGCTTGACCCCTTCCTCCCTGTGGCAGCCCCTCAGATATTGGAAGACTGCTATCATGTCTCCCCTGGTCCTTCTCTTTACTAGACTAGCCAAGCCCAGTTCCTGCAACCGTTCGTTGTATGTTTTAGCCTTCAGTCCCCTAATCATCCTGGTTGCTCTTCTCTGTACTTTTTCTAGAGTCTCAACATCTTTTTTATAATGTGGTATACAAAACTGGATGCAGTACTCTAGGTGTGCTCTTACTAAGGTTTTACAGAGTGGTATTAGTATCTCCCTTGATTTTGCTGTTAATACAATTTATTAACTGTTAATACAATTTAAGATTGCATTAGCTGTTTTGGCTGCTGTTGCACACTGCTGGCTCATATTTAGCTGATTGTCCACTAGGACTTCAAGATCCCTCTCACAGTTACTGCTATTGAGCCTGGTTTCACCCAGGCTATATGTGGATAAGATATGTGGATGGATAGGAATGGCATTGTAATAAATCCAAAATATATTTAGCCTTAACTTGCCCTGACAAATCAGAATTATCTCTGTTCTTCAGTATTGACATGAATGTCTTGTAACACTGGGAAATGTTTAATCCTATGTACTGTTCTGAATGTGGCTGAACATTGTATTTTTTTAGCATCAAAGTATGATTCATTGTTGTACATTTCTAATAATAAAATGTACAACAACTGTGTGATATCATAATGTATATATATAGTTAATTACCAGATCACACACTGGTAACTCCTTGCTTAGTTACATGTTCTCTGTGGTTTGTAGAATTTGGTGGCCAAGTTTCTGTTCATTCACATGTTACATGGTTCATGAAGCAACTATATTGTAGTTAGCTACTGAGCCAAGATAAAATCCTTAAACAATTTGAACCTGGAGTATCTGACTGACTGCCTTTGCATTATCAACCTAATGAATTTTTCACTTCGGGGAGGTCTTCTAGTATGTGCCATCTGCAATTACTTGTAGATAGATTCTTTACTTATGTAGATAGAGGTTGAGGTATTTCTCCATTTGAAATATACTCTCCCCTGAAATTTAAGAGACATCTGCTGAAGATCTGTATCTTCCCTCTATGAATGAAGAAGTCTGGATGATTTTTATTTTCTCTTGTCCTCACCTTCTCTCCTTTCTGCTATCTTTGCAATAAAACCATTATTTTTATATTGCTTTTAAATTATTACTTGCATTATGGTACTTGTATTGTTCTATTGCAAACCATTTTGTAATTTACACTAATGGGAAGCAGTATACAGAACATTAAACAATGACTATACCCAACCACAGAGCTGCATTATTGATGGTTTATGAAATGCTGTTTACATGAATTTCCCACAAACTGGAAAACAATGAGGGTCTTTTTTGGGGTCATCTGGATGTTTTGCTTTGTGTTTTCTGCACTGAGGACATACTGCATGTTGCTGTAGTTCCTACCCTCTGGATAGAATGGGAAGAAAATATATTTGTTACTTCTAACTTTTGAATTCCAAGGTTTGTTTTTTTTAGCAAGTTAATCTTCATCTTTTTCTTCTTTTAACAACCCCATAATCCCTTGCGGGGTAGAGTCTGGGCAACTGAATGGAGCTAGCAAAGTGTTTTAATGGCCAGAAGCCTTTCCTGTTGCCAATGCGGAGTTTCGTTCAGCAGATATATTTTCAGTGTGCCGAGAAAGAGAAGTATCTGCCTCTACCTAGGATCGAACTCACAGTCTCCTAATTGTGAAGCAAGAGCTCCACCTCTAGGCCACCAAACGTTGCTCCTTCTTTTTGAGCAAATTAATGTATTGGATAAAAAAAAGATTTAAAACTAATCATATGTAAATCTGATTTGGGGATGAGAGAGCAGTTTTCTTACCTAAATGAGGCCACTACTTTTTTGAGACATTGGACAATTTAGGGTATTTGACATTAGACAATTTCCACCTAGATGGTGGAAATAGTGGAGGTCACTAACAATTTAAAAGATGGCATCTTTATTCCTTATTATCACACTATCTATTCTTAAATTCTTTGGTAGATTGGCCACAAACATGATTTGGAAACTACATCTGATGCAGAATTCTGTGGCCCATATCAAAGTGGGCAACAAGAAAAACATTTTATTTTGTTTAATTGCCCAGACTGCTGATTAACTAGTGGTTTCCGTTAAAGATGCAGATTGTCTGTACTTTGTATAATTGAATCTCTCTCTTTTTTTGTACATGCCCTTCTTCTCTAAGGCTAAATGTCTTCTTTCAATGCTTTTGTTTTCAGATTGGATTAATGGAATTAGGATTAATTATTATTAGAATAATAGCCTCCGGTGTTTTCTGGTAGACACTGTGATTCCTTGTAGCTTCCTATTGAGGAAATACTGTTTGGACATCTTTCTGGTTACTTTATTTTTCTTTGAAGTATTTTTAGAATTAGATATGGTTTCTTTGAACTAACTTGGAAATACAGGAATTCCAAGATCTAAATAAATTTATATCTTAACTTTTATTATTATTATTATTATTATTATTATTATTATTATTATTATTATTATTATTATTATTATTATTATTATTATTAGCAGCATCTATCGCATAGTCAGCCAGATGTTCAGAATGGGTTTGGCATTTTTGTCTACTTAATGAGTTCATTATTATTATTATTATTCATGGTCTCTTTTTCTGACTGTTCCATACCAGTCTTAAATCTGTTTGCTTTTTACTGTGCTATACTGCTGTTGTTGCTGCTAAAAATGGTCAAAGTAATATTCTTATCTCAATTGCACAAAATGAGTGAAAACTTCAATGGCCAAAAATATGTGGCATTGTTTTTACAAGAAGTTAAAATATTCTCATTTTTTTTAGTTACTATAATTTTGAGTTGAAAACTGAATTTTTAATGGGCTTAAAATAAGCCAGTTTTTCTAACATTAATAATGGTGGTAGTTGTTGATGTTGTTGTACTTAGTTCAGTATAGAAAAAAAAATCAGGTTACAAGATATTTCCCAAGTGGAATTATATTCTTCTGTTATGGCCAAAGGATAATTATCATTCCATAAATCTCTTTGAAAATATCATTGATGGCAAATCAATTGATGGATGCACTTCCTTGCTGATGTTTTTCTAAGCACATTGTGTTCTGGCATTATTCATCCAGCATCAGATGAAGTACAGGCTGGTGCTATAAAGCCAAAATCTGAAGGTGATGTCCCTTTTTCTTGGATTGGTCTTGCTTAGCGCAACTGGTCCTATTGTCTTGAATATGATGCAAAGGGAAATCAGACTCCATGGACACCGTCTACTTTGATTCAATCCCAGTTGTAATCCTGTGTGGTGACAAATAATATGTGAGTTACTGCTTGTATTTTCTTTCATTCGCATTTATTGATGAAATTTGATTCCTCTGTCCTCTTTTTTCAGGTCGTCCCATTCCACCTACGTCCTCATCTAGCCTTCTCCCATCTGCTCAGCTGCCCAGCTCCCATAATCCATCACAAGTTAGCTGCCAAATGCCCTTGCTAGACAGCAATACTTCCCATCAAATTATGGATACCAACCCTGATGAAGAGTTCTGCCCAAATTCATACCTGCTAAGAGCATGCACCGGGCCACCGCAAACTTCCAGCAGTGGTAAGGAAATGTTATTGTAAATATTATGCTTATCTGAGAAAATTCTAATTGTTACAAGAACAGTGATTCAAAATAGGGACATGAGGCAAATGAACATATATTTATCTGTTAATTTGTTGTGGTTTGAGAACTTTATTAAAGTCTGATACATTGATATTTGTTGTTGTCAAATTTCATTTTAATGAAAAAATGAATTAATAATTCTGAATTAATAGTTAACTTTATAAAACTGAAACTATGAATGCATTTTATTATGATGAAAATTGCCTTGTATTTCTGGAGAAATATATAACAAAGGTATCGCACTGCTTTGCATTTTTATAGAATTGCCTTTTAAAATGCAAAATGTTTGCTAGCCCTGTTGTAATATGTTTTCTATTTTCATATTTGTTATGTTTCTTCCAATTTTCTTTTCAGAATTGCAAGTAATCCTAACTTACAACCTTTTATGAACTATTGATCTCTCTCAAATTGACCACTGATTTGTAAAATATTTAAACTGCATTTTTTTAAAAATGAGGATATAGATTCTGTTGTGAGTGCCTCCATTTTTGGGGAAATCCTTTTACTCCAATCAGATATTCAAAAAGTAGTGTGGACTTTGTAGATAAGGTAGGATGAGAAAGTACTAGATCAGATATAGGGGGCACTGACAATTTGATTGAAGCGCATTGTGATTTTTCCATTTCTGTACTTTAGAGATTTTCAAAGTATTTGAGAAATTGCATTAGTTATTCGGAAGTTCTGTTAGTATTATAGATTCTGCTTCTTTGGCACAGTTTTCTTTGCTATGCATAAATCATTTGAATAAATTTAAAAGGAAGAAATAAAACATTTTAAATGAATATTACAAAAAAACAAGTAGGATATAAATCAGGACCACTACTAAATAAATAAATACATAAATAAGGAGTAGAACAATGAAGTTTCAAGAACATTTTTAAAAATGTCTATAATAATAATAAAATAAAAGGAGAGAGCATCCATGGGAAAGATTTATTGTTGTTACTTCCTACTTGCCTCTTCTGATTCAATTTTCTTGTTATGGTTTTCTTTTATGTTCCATAGTATGCTTGTTATTGTATGCTATTCTTATGTCACAATAATTAATGAATATAAGATCTGTAATTGGTAAGCGCACTGCTGTTTTGCCTGAACACATCTTAGAAGAAACTGCTTGGCCAGCAATTTATGCCTGCTAAAGCTGGGGGAAAAAATTATATAGAGCCAGAAATATGCATTTGGCAGAAGAAAACAAAACAAGATTTCACAAAACTCTGGTGATTCTTTATCTTTTAACATGATGTCCTCATATATCAGAATGATAAATCTGATAAATCTTAAGTTGCAATTCTAAGCACATACATGGAAGTTTAAAGTTATACTAATGGTGCTTGCTTATAGATAAATCATTCTAGAATTGAGGCTTTCATGAAGTCTTTAAAAAAATGAAAGAAAAGCACTGTTAGATCAGAACGAACAGCATCTAGGTCAGCAACTTCTTTCTTAAAACAATCAAGTAAAGGCATCTGAGAAGCAAGCATGACATGATGGCAGGAGCAATATTTTTTCTCTTCAGTTAATAAAGTCTCCCTGCTTGGAACATGATATAGTGTCCATTGAGATATTTGTCCATTATGAATATAACCTCCTTCTTTAGCCAGTAATATAGCTATTTTTGTGCCAGTATATGACACTAATTACTTAAGAAATTCTCCCTTAGCACTGTCCTGTGTTACTTTACAGTCAGTTTTACTGGGTCACTTTTAACATTGTGAAAAATCATAAAAAGAAAAAAAACTTTCCAGCCAATTTACTTACACCACCTGCCCATGGGATTTTGAATCAAAACACAGATGAGATTCCTATCCTATTAAAGTTCAGTGAAAGTTTCCAGAATTCTGTCTGCTTTTGGCTCTTCTAGAATGAATGAAACACTTTCAACGTGTCCTGCTGCAAATTCCACCCTTTATATATGTGTGTGCACAGGGCTTTGGGCACATTTCTGCTTGTGACCTCCCCCTTTGTCCCCACCACCACCAGTGTTGCTGAATAGTGGCTTTCTTGGAATTTTCTTCCTCCTTGCTAAAACTGTTGGAAAAGTTGAAATGTGCAGGAGTATGATCCTCATCTGTTGACACTGATCTGTCCCTGGATGGAATTCAACAATTATCAAGAGATTCAGCTGGTTTCATAGTGGAACTATGCAAATATTTAGCATTCAGTCTCTGTTAATTAGTGTATAAAATTATATTTCTCTCAGTTGCCACACATACTGGGGTAGGGAGAGGTTTTCTGTTCATTAACTGACTGTCATGGTAGATGTTGCCTCCTACCAAAATTTTTACTTCTGTTTCCAGAATATTCATTGTCAATGATGGGATATCCTAGCCTTTCTTAAGAGAGGTATAACAGATAATCAGAGTTGGAAGGGACCTTGTAGGTCATCTAGTCTAACCCCCCCCCACCCAAGCGGGAGAGCCTACACAATTTCTGACAGATGGCAGTCCAATCTCTTCTTGAAAGTCTCAAGTGATAGCGCTCCCACAACTTCTGAGCAAGCTGTTCTATTGGTTGATTGACCTCATTGTCAGAAAGTTTCTCCTTATTTCCAGGTTAAATCTCTCCTTGTTCAGTTTCCATCCATTATTCCTTCTCTGGCCTACAGGTGCTTTAGAAAATAGCTTGATCTTCTCCTCTCTGTGGCAGCCCTTCAAATCTTGGAAGACTGCAGTCATGTCTCCCCTGGTCCTTCTCTTTACTAGACTAGCCAAGCCCAATTCCTGTAACTGTTCTTCATATGTTTTAGCCTCCAGTCCCCTAATCATCCTGGTTGCTCTTCTCTGTACATTTTCTAGAGTCTCAACATCTTTTTTATAATGTGGTGAACAAAACTGGATGCAGTACTCTAGGTGTGGTCTTACTAAGGCTTTATAGAGTGGTATTAGTATCTCCCTTGATCTTGATTGTATCCCTCTGTTAATACAACTTAGGATTGCATTAGCTTTTTTGGCTGCTGCTGCACACTGCTGGCTCATATTTAGCTGGTTGTCCACTAGGACTCCAAGATCCCTCTCACAGTTACAGCTATTGAGCCTGGTTTCACCCAGTCTATATGTGTACTTTTGGTTTTTCTTGCCTAAATGTAGGACTTTACTTTATTCTACACTGAATTTCATTTTATTAGATATGGTCCAGTGTTCTAGTCTGTCAAGATCCCTCTGGATTTTGAGCCTATCTTCTTGGGTGTTAGCTATTACTGCCAGCTTAGTATCATCTGCATATTTAGTAAGTTCCCCTTCTATTCCCTCATCTAAGTCATTAATGAAGATATTAAAGAATACTGACGGAACCTTGTGGCACCCCACTGCTTACTTCCCTCCATGTAGACTTAGACCCATTAAGGACTACTTGTTGAGTACAGTTTGTCAGCCAGTTGCGAGTCCATCTAGTGGTGGTGCTATCTATTCCACTTTTTTCTAGTTTACTAAGAAGTAGGTTGTGGTCTACTTTGTCAAATGCCTTGCTGAAATCTAAATATATTATGTCCACAGTATTTTGCTGGTCTACTAATTTAGTCACTGTGTTGAAGAATGAGTAGACACATTTACAACTCATTCATATCTTTTTATTTTCTAAGAACTCCTACAGGAAATCAAGATTAAATATTAGCTAATTTAAAAATGTCGATACAGAATCATACTGATTCATACTGTAAATTTTTCACCCAAATGAGAAATTTGTCTGATTTCTCCACTTGTCTGATTCTTAAACTTTCACCAAAAAAGAATGCATCTGAGCAGCCACCTTCTTAATCTAAATGGACCATCATATACAGATGCATAATACTGTCTGGCTCATATATTGATCAGTTCATCATGTTGTGACTGGAAGGTTTGAGCCTGCTGTGAGCTTTGAGTCTGATGTATCAGAAGACATAGGTTCGAGTGATGAGGAAGGTTTGGCATTGGAATTGGAGCCTGCTTTAATGAGAGATGCAGACGTGAGCCAGGAGGATGAGGGAGTGTCGGAATCACCATCCTCTCCAGAACCTTCCACATCAATCATGCCTCAGGTGTCAGCAGCTGATCCACAGAACATACCAGAGTCCTTGAGTGATGATCAAAATGACGAATGTTGGGTTGATGCAAGGACTAGACGCAGGCTGAGACATCAAGCACAATTTGAAAGGAAACGTCAAGTCAGAGACTAATTAGAGAGACTGACACGCCCCTTCAAGGAATATAAGGGGGCGTGTTAGCTAACGATCCTTGTCCGGATCAAACTTCGTTAGTTACTTCACAGCTTGGAAGAAGCCTTCTGTTTCTGAATTATCTTGCGGCTCGTTATCTTGTTTGAAGACAGTTTCTGGGAAACCTGCCAACGACGATTACAGAGAAAAGTTAACTCTGTGGTTTCTGATATTATTTGTTTGTGTTTATTTCTTTGGGACATTTGGACTCTCACTTTGTGGCTACAGGTGAGACAGAACATCATCATATGAGTATATTATTCTGAAAGACCAGACGATATAGATAGATAGATAGATAGATAGATAGATAGATAGATAGATAGATGATAGACAGACAGACAGACAGACAAATGTGTGTACTCATTCATTCATGCTTGCATTCTTTCTTTCATTCATTCATTCATTCATTCATTCATTCATTCATATACTATATATGGAACAATAAATGTGAAAAAATATACAGTATACCTCTGAGTTTTCATTTGTTATTTTAAGTTTAAAAATGGTTTTTACTTTATGAAGCAACATGGAATCAATTCTTTTGTTTTGAACCTAAATATTTTACTCCACCAATTAAAGTGATCATATGAATTATGATGCTACAGTGTGTATATCTGAACTCCCCAATGTACATGTGCATGTATTTACAGCACATCCTGTCCTTTGATTTCATCAGAAATTCTAGTCTATTTATTATGCTATCCATCCTGATCTAGTTTTGGACATTAATAGAATTCTAAGTGTTTTC